GTTTTTCCTCCTTATTAACTGTTGATTCATTGTCCTGCACTGGGGAGGACTGCTAGGAATTCAGTGCATGTACAGTGCCCTGTGGTGAATAGGGTCATCTAAGGACCAGCTGTAGAAAATTTGGCTGCGCTCCCCACTTTCCTTTTCTCCTTGTCGTTGGGCTGTGGAAAAAAAAACTACCCCAAAGTTGTCATGTGCTCATGGTGGTCACGGTCACATAGATAAGGGCTTGGCTGTCAATAGTATTTTAGCCATGACTTTCCTCTACCTGTTTAAAACTACTTATGGCTACAATGAGAAGCTTTCCGAGACAATAAATTGGAAACTGTGACCCTGTAGTGCTTCCTTCAAATAAGTATTTCCCCGTTCCAGGAAAAGTACCTTGGGTCTGTTCTTCTGTTTGCTGAAATTTGCAGTTTCTGTGTTCAGATTTTTCATTCTTCAGTTTCAAGTCTTTGAAACTATTTTGGTGCTTGAGTTTCACATGTATTATAATTAATTATAATCAGTCTCCAGGAACTGAGTCTTAACATAAAGTGCCAGCTGTCACAAGCATCAGGAACTAAACTGGAGGGGCTAACAGTCTATACACATAGGCAGGTGATATGACTTACCCTGAGCCATATGGCCAGCTGAGTCAGGATTAAAATTCAGGTCTTATGGTTTCCCCAAAGAATGCCAAGCCTATGGGATTCGGTTGACTTTCTGCAACAGTTTTGCACAGGACAAACCTCTGTTTATGCCTCAGGTGGTTAAGAATATTCATGTAAGATTGGTCTGGGTTACTTCAGTGCAGAAATAGAAAATCTGGGGTTAGCTGTCTTTATGGCAGTCCATTTCCCATTCTGTGCTGTGTCTGAGAGGACCAATATTTGCTTTCTAGGCCGTGGGAAAGTTGTGTTGCAGGAGCAGGTGAATTTTTGCTTGCTGAGCCCCAGCACACACCATGGTAGGAGACACCCAGTATAATCCATGAGACCTGAAGCCTGGCTTTCTCTCAAGCTGTGTATCAGGTTGTTCAGCAGTTGGACACTGCCCAAATCTGGAGTGTGCAATATCAGAGCTGACCTTGAGCACAGGCAGCCAAACCTGTGGGGTGGGAGAAGATGGGGCTACAGAAGAACATTACACAGTGGGGCTGACCAGGGTGATTGGAACCCATTGGTGCCCCCAGTGTCCCTGGGGCTTCCATCTTCCAGGCCCTGGGAGAGGACTTTTTGGTCTCTAACACAGTTCCCAGATGTGAAGGTGGCAAAGAAGTCTTGTTTGAGCTGACACTGAGACTCCATCTCGTGGAGTTGGTGCTGGTCAAACCATGTACCCAGAAAACTGTAACAGTCCCATGAAGCTTTGTCAGCACCCGCTTCCATACAGTTTCAAAGGGAGGCTGGGCAAGTGTCTTGGAAGATAAGGAAGGAACAATGTGGCTCAGGAATTGCCCCAGGCTGACAGTGGCTACTAGCTGACAGGTGTCTTCAGGAAAGTCTTCTCTTTGCTTGCCCTGCTGTTATTCTTCCCTCACCAGTCATTCATGGCCATTGTTGAGGGCAAGATGCTGGGCTAGACAAACTCTGCCATGACCCAGTGTGGACATTTTGTGATGGAAATCAACAGCCCAAGATGCAGAGGTTGTCCTGACTCCAGGCTAGTGTGGAAATTAATTCTTAACTGGTGGCGACTCAATATAACTGCATTTTCCTGCCAGAAGGGACCTGGGAAAATTAATTCTGTCAGGAAGTTTGTGTAACAACCGCTGGCTTTGTCACTGGAGGTGGTTTGACATCATCTTGCTGGCAGAGCCTGGCAGGTTTGCCTGACCAAAAGCATTATCTGCCTGTACCTATCTTCTCTGCCTTCACCACTTGTGTCAGGCAAGCGTGGCTCTTCCCAAGCTGATCCTTCTGCATCCAAGCCAGCTCCACTTGCCTCACTTTTGGATACCAGTCCACAGTTTTGGCACTCTAGTGACCTCAACCTCTTTCAAAGAGGTCTTTCAGTGGTGCTCTGCGTCTTGCTGATGAAGCTGCTTCCACAGTACTTTGCAGTGATGATTGTAACTGGAGAAGGTATGACAGCACTTATTAGACTGAGATCTGCTTTGTGCCTCATCTGCACTTACATCATGCAGTGCCTTACAACCAGGGATAGAGAGGAAGAGCTTCTCAGTCACAAGCTTCTGGGAAAGAAGTCCATCAGAGTTGCGATGTATTTTGCTTACTGGGGCTCTCTCTTAGTCGCTGCTTTGTTCCTCTGCAAGTGCTGTCTCACAATTGAAAAAACCACATCTGGCTTGAAGCCACTTGAAGCAGCTTGGACAAGAGACTGCCTGCTCTGAACAACGAATTAATGGGCTTGGTCTTTTACATGAGTAAAGTCCTTTCAGACTTTTGTCCATGTCAGGCTCCCAGCTCTTCTAATTAAGGGGCTTTTAGCTCAACCAGTGTTTGGGAGCTACAGTACAGCTGGGCTTTTGATAAAGTGAGGAAATGCTAGAGGTAGGGATGTAATGGGTTGGATTTCAGCTTCAAAAAAATGTCTTGGAGAGAGAACAGAACATCCTCCTTGTACCACCTTTTGTTTGCTGTAGCAAAGCTGAGGAGACATCAACTGTGTGGGCTGTTCTGGCTTTTGAAATAGAAATGACAAAGCTGATAATAGGAAAGTAAGATCATCTTGACTTCTGGGGGCCTCTGTCTCTTAGGCAGCTAGAGGGATATTTCAGAAAACATATTTTTTACTTGTGCCTTTTCTTATTATGCCTGTTTTTGGCAATCCTGCCATGGCTCTTGCTTTGAACTCCCTTTTTCTTTCCTCCTCTGCTGCTGCCTGTGCTCCCCGTCTGGTACAGGGTGCTGCTTGTGCTGAGGCTGTATCTTTGCAAAAGGAATGGGTCTGGTAATAAACTTCAGGAAGGTGGACTGTAGCAGCCATTAATTATCAATGTAGCTGTTATTCCTCACCATAATCACCTGTAAAATCTAGGCAGCATAAGATACTTGGGTCTTTTTTTCCCCCCTTTTTCTTTCAAAGCCAGCTTTGCATTTTTCACTTGAATGTGAAAAGTAAGCTGGTGTTCTTTCTGACTTCTTTACTACTTACACATACAGACTTGCCATCAGAAGCAAGTTAACTGTCCAGCTAATAGATAGAATCAAACTTTAATCTCTAGATTTTGCTGTTTTGGCTCCATAACACAAAAAATGCCTGGTATGAGGGTTGGTTTGGAAAAGAGCAAGAGAGAAAGACATCATCTGCCTCCTTACTTTTCCTCCTGCTTTCTTCCCTCCTTTCTTCTGCTGTATTCCCCAAAGGGTGAGTCCAGCTCTGTGTCCATTGCTTGCCAGGAATGTCTACTTGATTAGAAACGTACAATAGTACCCATTTATAGGTAGTCTTCTGCAGAGTTTCATAAATATCTTCTCAAGTGACACTAAACAGAGGTGTCCTGGAAAAACACTGATTTGAAAGGGGGAATGAAGCGTTCTGCTTGTTCTTTGAAGCAGAACCACCCGCTGGCTCACGAACCAGCAGTAATAAACAGAGTCAAATAGCGTGGTACATAATTGCCTTCTCCTTTTGTCTCAGCTTCATATCGTTCTCCCATGTGACATTCTTCCTGGCCATCGTGCTCTTTATCCTCCCATTGTACCAGAAGTGCAAACAGAATTTGTTTGTTATCATGGCATCTGTATGTGGCTTTTAATTTCTTCGAGATTAAAAAAAAAAACAACGAAGCCAACCCGCAAGCCCTCTTTGTCCAGCACTGTTTAAATCTGCTCTCAGCCTGTTTGCACAGCTCACTTCTGCCCTGCAATGCAGAGTACAGATCTGCAGAAGGAGAAATCTAGAGCAATTCATGCAAAAAGGCTTTAAAAATGTGGTGGTGTTGCTGAAGAAAAGCTGTCTGGAGGGTGTTAACGTGGCATCAGTAAGCTGGAAGGTGGGTTGGGGTAGGGATGCATTGTATAAATCTTTACAATCACAGTGCTGTACTTAAATGGGTGCTCTCATTCCTCCCCTTTTTTTGCTTTGGGTACTTGTAACTAATGGGAATTATTTTCTTTGGCCTCTGAAATGTCTCTATAGTTGTGTGGTTTCCTTCCTATAAAGGTGAACATTTCAGATTAAAATTCTGTTTGGCAGTTTATGAGCTCCCAAAACAGAGGCTTGAAGGCAATGGGTCAGGAGTTCCCAGTGTAGGAATTGTCTGACCTTTCTTTGTGCTGTAATAGCGTAAAAAAGTTGGAGTTATTATTTGGAAAGCGTTAACAAGAAGATGTCAGAGGTGGAAGGCCAGAAGGAGGATCTGGGTGGGAGAGGGGTGGGAGAAACATTCCTTCTTCTCTTTCCTCTGTTACTTGCACAGATCTTACTCCTTCCTGTCTGCTCTTATCCTGCTCTGGGTTCTTGCAGTTTTGATGTGCAGGTTTGGTGTTCAAAGGTGGTGCAGAAAAGTAACAAGAGGAGCAAAAGTACATGTTGTTAGCAAAGGAACTAAGACCAGACAAAAGCAGCTTGCAGCGTTTGAGCCTCCTGTCTCAGCTGATGTGGGACTATCACAGATTTACCTTCCCAGTCTTTCATCTCTGCTGAAACCTTCCTTTGGCAGCTGGCTTTCACCAGCAAAGAGCTCACACTGCCCTGAAGGTCTGACCCAGAGGAGGAGAGATAGCAAAAGAGTATCCCTGCTCGGTGCAGAGTCTGGAGCCCATCACAGGTGGAGGGTTACTGCGTGTGGAAGGCTTAGTTACACCCATGTTGTGTACAGTGTGTACCTACGTGTGGTGTGTATCTCTGACACAAACTCCCTTTCGTCCCCTCCGCTCAGTTCATATGAACATGGAATATTTTGGGTTGGAAGGGTCTTCTACAGGTTATCTAATCCAGATGTGGATGCTCAATATTGCTCTTTCAACTGACAAAGGATGTAACTAGATCATGTGTGGGTTGGAATTGGAGGGTCATGTTTGACAGGGTTTTCTCTGTTTTGTGTCCCACAGCTCTTCTGTTTGCCCATGCCCTGGGGGAAAAGACTTTGAGAAGATGGAGAACCAGAGGGGAGTGCTCTTGGGATATGTCAGCTGGGAAGGAGAAGAGGAAGGGGATGCGGAGGATCAGGTGGCTCCTCGTGTTTCTCCTTCCAGCCAAACAAGTAGACTGCAAGATGTGGAGGTGGAGATGCTTGAGAAGGCAAGGGAGCTCTTCCAGCTGTGTGACAAGGATGAGAAGGGTTTTATCACTAAGGTGGACATGCAGGTGAGAGGAAAAAAATCCTTCCCCTGGTCTAGGAGGATCTGTAAAGTCATGGGTGGCAGAAGTGGGGAGAATGTGGCATGTCTTTACTTTTGGTGAGTGTGGGTGTGCCCACAGACTCTGTCTCATTCAGATATCCGGGAGCCAAACTGTGCCACAGCCAGCTGCTAGGAACCAAAAATCTCAAGAGGGCCTTGCACCTCCAGGGACTTCCTGAGACAAGCTGGACTGCAATTCCAAATTTTTAAAGAATGCATAAAATAAAAAAAATTGTGACAGTTCTTACAAATATCAAGCATGCAGTGAATGGAAAATATGGGGGAAAAGAAACTTGGTTCAATTAAAAAAAACCCGAAACTACAACCCCCAAAAGAACACACAGTGAACAATGCACCAACCTATTAACAAAAAAAGTTGTATAACTTTTTTGTCTCAATCATGCCTAAAGCCTCATCTCAAAAACTCACTTTAGGCCTGAACTATAATTTTGCTCTAGAATAATGTGTTTTGCTCCTTTTTGTTAAAAGCAGTATTTGTTAACACAATCTCTGTAGTTCTTAGTGAGGTTTTTTTTAAAGGTTTATAAGGAAGGTTACATGTGGATTGTTTGTCTCTTGTCCCATCTCTCCTTACATCTGTAATTAACACTGACAGGTTCATACTGCTTGAAATATTGACTCACTTTGTTTGGAGTTGTGTGAAGCTTACTTTTTTGTAGTTATATTAATACATTTTTATTAAGCTTTTATCTAAAGCTGCACATTTAACAGACAGTTATGAGGTTTTAGCCTACACCTCTCTGTTATTTGGAAGTTTCTTTGGGTGCCCTTCCTCCACACTAGGTGCACATGTATTGTGAAGGGAAATTACTCTGCTCCTTGCCCATGTTGTGGGAGTCATACTACAGCCCCAGCAGACAGAATATGGCAGAAGAAAACTAACTTGCTGTTATGGACTGAACATTTAATTTATGATCTGCAGGATTTCCTGCAAGACCTGGGAACTGAATCCAGATACCCATAAGTCTGACGTCTCTCTCTGGCCAAAGGAGCTGGTACCTGATGTGCCCACAGAGAGCTCTCTTGGGAGCAGCAGTGGTTGTGGGAGGCTGGCAGTGCCCTGGGGGCAGCCACCTCTGGGCAGGGATGTAGGGAGGCAGACAGCAAACTAGAGGCAGTGGTTCTAAAGCGGGGGAGGAGGAGGGTTGAGTTCCCTCCAAACAAAATAACCTGAAATTCCCCCTCTGCGGTTCTGGTTGAATCATCCAGCAGTGGAAAGTGTCGCCATATCAATGGCTCCAGACAGGTGTTTGTGTCGTCACTCAGCTGTACTGGCAGACTGTCACATCCTGGACAGGATGCAGTGCTGAAAGGGCACATTGCTGTGAGCCAAAGCTGAGGATGGCAGGGACAGTCACAGAGAAGACTCGAGTCATGCCTACAGTTTGTTCATTCTTATGTCTTTGCAGCGGCTCCAGAATGAACTGCCCCTAACCCTTCAGCAGCTGGAGACTGTTTTTGACAGCTTGGAACAGAACAATAAGGGATACCTGACACCTGTGGAGTTCAGCATGGGATTAGGTAAGGACTGCACAGAGGTAGAGGAAGGAAAAAACCCACCTGTGACATGATGTTTTATGTTGGTAAGGAAGAAAGTGCAGTGGTTCTGCTGAAGCTGCACCAGCTATGCAGGACAATGCCCCATTCTCAGGTGAGTATCACTGGAGAAGGTGAGTGTGCTATACAGCTATCTCCCTTCCCGAGGCTTTGTGTTGCCTTCTTCCACAACTGTTACTGCCTACCTGGTAGAGCCACCTTCTGAGTATCTGCTAGAAATGGTACATATTGCAGCCTGTGTCTGGCTATCTGATCCACAGTTATTCATCTGGATAAGGACCCTCATTGAATAAAGGAACAGAAATATGCCCCTTGGCAACTGTCTCCAGCTGATAGCAGTGCTGTTCAAGAGCATGAGTAGGAGTCCTGTTAGTAGGCTAGAACACTGCCAAATGAGCTTTTATATTTTCCTTACTATTGTCTTTTCCAAACACTAGGAGAATGCTGCTCCTATACCAGAGTCCTCACCCAGCAGCACAGGTGCTTAGTTGCCTTATCTGGTTTTAAGCCCTCAGAAAATCTGTACCTGTTAGCACCTTCCTTGGACATGTAGAGGTGTTAAGTGTACCAGGTCAAAGCAAGTCAACACAGATGGTCTAGGGTTTTCAGAAGTGATTTTGCTGTCCTGATTGCTCAGATTGTGGCTGGTCCTGGCTTTCTCACAACTTGGGAGGGAGGGCTTTTGGTGCTTGAATTTGAATGGTCAGAAACAGCCACTGTGAATGGAGAAGTTGCAAACATTTCCTCTGAATAAACCCAGAAAGCTGTATTTTGGGACAGTCTGTTCAGGGACTGTTTTAAACCACTGAGTGGCTGCTGACTGTGCCTGTTTCTGCCTGTGCCCCTATTGGCTGGTTCTGCTGCCTTTGCTAGAAATAAGAGTAATCTTGTTTGTAATCACATAAAAAGTGTTTGTAATCACAGGAGTGTGGGCTTTCTTGTCTAGCACTATGTAGAAGGTGAACAGGCAACATTTGGGCACCCTGGCATCCACAGTGCCCTCTGTGTTATGACTTCGTTATTCCCAAATCTTGTTGTTTGAGGCATTTGTCCCAGCCACGGCCACAGATTGGCATCATGAGGGCACCTGCCTCAGTGCCATTGCTAGTAGAGGTAGGCAAGTTCTCCCTTTGTGTAAGGTACCACCCTGTGTTGGCAGCCTGACTCCATGGCAATTACTCCAGTCTAGGCAAAACACTTAATTTCTGCATTTCTTTTCTTTACAATCATTCTTTGTGTCTGGAATAATTGAAATCCTTTTCAGACTCTGCCCCTAAATCAAGAGTTTGGCCTGGCATATTGCTGTATTCCTTATAGAGTGTACAGAGGGGAATCAAAGAAAGCTGTTCAAGCTGCAGTCAAGTTTGCTTCTTGAGAGGGCTCCTTGCTCCTTCTAGGATGACAAATCAATCTTCAGATGATTCTCTACCTCAATTTCCCCATCTGTAAAAGAGAGATAACAACATAATGACTCTTTCTTTAAAGCAGACATCAAAAGTGCCTAGTCTAACCCCTTCTGCTTAATTAACTGTCTCAGCATCAGGCTTTAAGCTGAGTAGGGCCTGTATCTCCACAGTGCAAGTTTTTTTACATCACATTTTAAGAGTGGGAGAGAAGCAGCTCGATTCTGGATGCATGGAGCTAAGAAGTGGTAGAGTTAAGTCCCTTGAGGTACAATACTGATGGATATTTTTCCCCTTAGTAGAGCAGCTTCATGTTCTCATCTGTGCTCTGAACATCCTTGACTCCTGGTCTTGTAGTTGGGATGTCATTTCTGCCTTTTGAGCCAAGCAGATATATTTTGGAAAGGAAGAGTAACTGCTGATGGAGATCTGACCTCTGTATACAGGATGGGGGCCTGTGTTTTGGATAGGACTGCTTGATTTGTTTCTTGAGAAGAAGTTGTTCCCAGCACCAGTGTTTGTCACATGCCTTGCATAGCATGAGGTTCTCGTGGCATTAGTGTTACAGCATGAAACAGAATCCAGAGAGCTGGAAGCACTCCATATGTGGGATGGGGCAGGAGGAGGTGCTCAGAGGGATAAGTTCATTCTGTTCAGACAGTCTACACAATCCTAGCAAGAGGCTCTCCTTGTCCTGTAGCACTTGAATCAGAATAGATGTAGCACATGAGACGGGAGGGATAATGAACTCCTTCTCATTTTTAAGCTGAGGAGCTGAGGCATGGTACTACTCAGGGCCGGGTGTGCAGTCCAGAGGGAACATGTGGGATCACTGGCAACTGGAACTCACAGCGCCGCTCCGTGGGAGTGAAGTGACCTCGTGCTTTCTGTGCTGAGAATCCAAGGCCGTGGGCGATAGATCATCTTCGCACAGATGTGAGCAGAGCCCTGACAGCCTGTTGTTGGGCTGGGAGCCAGCTTCAGTCCCAGCATTGCAGACTGGACACTGACATCACTCAGGACGTCAGAACGGAGGCTCTTTACTGACCAGGCGCTGTATTCTGCCCCAGCAGAGTGCGGGCAGCTGCTCCTGGAGCTCTGTCAGGCTGCCATGTAAGTAGCAGCTTATTAAATGACACTCAATTTTGACTTTTTTAATTCTCCTTCTCTCCTTCTCCTTCCACCAGGGAAGTTAATAGGGATTGAATTGTGTCAAGGGGCTGGGAGAATGGATCACTCCAGGCACGAGGAGACCTTTGAGTCAGGCTGGTCAGATGACTTGGACCCAGCAGATGACGATGAAGAGAAACGATTCTGTTCCATGATGGAGCAGCTCGGAGCAGCCCAGTTGTTTGAAGAGTAAGTAGGGGAGTCACATGGCATTACTGTTGCCCTGTTTTGATCTTGCAGTACCAAATCTTCAAAGTACCAGAACAGACCAAAGAGGTGAACCAAGCTGCTTGCTCTCTGAAGCACTGCTTGGGTTTTCATATGCTTGGTAGCAAATGCAGTGAGGTCTGGGTTTTCTCATCAGTTACCAATTACTTTTAGCTCAGTGCTTTTCACAAATCATTTCCCAAACTCCAGTTCATACCACAGCTGTAAAATACAACACTTGGTGGCATGGAAGTTCAGCAAATGAAAAGAAGCATGTGAAGGTTAGACAAGATAAGGAGGATGAGTGTGCTGTCTGTTCCAAAATGATGTGTGACTGTTTATGTATTTTCAGACAATCAGTTCTAAGAGTCTCCATGAAAAATCTGTGCTCAAGTTGTTGCTTGGGACTGGACTGATCTTGAAGAGTGTGAAAGGCTAAGCTGGGCAAGGGATGCTTACCTGAGCCTTGAAACTTGATATTAATGCTGTGGTCATGTGGCCCCAGTAGAGTGTCCTGGCCCCAGTGTCATCCAGCCTGTGTTTAGGCTTTCCAAAGAGAAGTATTGTGCATAAACTGATCCTTACTGATGCACAGCTGCAGGGGCTGGGGTGCCAATTGCATCTGTGGCAGTCATTTTTTTCAGGCATTGTAGTCCAACAGTGTTGCCAGGTTGCAGGGAGCAGCCCAGGTTAGGGAAGGAGGTGGACAGGCTTGGAGACTGAAGCTGAGAGTGAAGGAATTTGCTGCTTTCAGAGTTGCATCTGTCACAAAACACTTTTTTTGTCTCATTTGTATTGTGATGCAAAGCACCTGCACGTTTTTAATGCTAAACAACTTTTCCCATTCTGGAAAGCTGTTATGCCTCAAATAATTGGATGACACTGTGAAAGGAAAACTGTTCTGGAAAAAACAGTCTACTGTTTATAACTCTGCTTTGAGAAGCATCAGGTCTTAAAGTGGAATTATCCTGTGTTTTATTTTGACTACTTACTTGCAATTTTATGCAATGAGTTCAGTAGCTACTTCATGTCACGCCTTTGTAGCAAGCCAGCTGTTGTAAAGAAGTAATATAAAACAGAAGCTAATGGGGGGCAGAGCAGAAATCTGAATTATTTTCATTGTTTTCTCAGGAAAGAAATGGTTTTATTTACTAATAGGACTCAGTATGGTTTTTTTATCTAAAACACGAAGTTTTGATGAAGTGCTACAGCTTTTTCAGCTTGGAAAAGAAAAAGGAGGCTGACATGCAATGGTGGCAGAGGAAATCAAGAGCTTTTTGGTTGTTGATTTTGTTTGCTTTTTTCACAAAGGATATTAAGGGAGGCAAATACATATACAAAAAAAATTTTATTTGGATAATGTCTATAGGTATAATTATTCTGTATATTTCAAAGCAGTTCCCCCAAAGTACTTCATAGATTTAAAAAAAACCAAAACATCTCTTCCCTAAAAAGGAGCATGAAATGATGTCTGCAGGCTTATAAGACTTGGGGAAAGAGTAAGTTTATAAGTGCTGTGTTGAAGTTGCAATGAATTAAATGTCAAAACAGTGTAATCATTACTGCAGGTTTAGAAAAAGGAGACTTCTAGGGTTTTTCTCCATTATTATTCTGATTGGGCACTGGAGCAAATTTGCATCTTTTTTGTGCCTCAGTTTTCAAACCCATTAAAAAAAATAAGGACAGTAGCAGGACCAGTACAGTCCTGGTGTAAGAAAAACAGCTGTGATGTGTGCTAAAATCCCTGAGCTATAACAGTTTGCTGCTTGACTGTAACTCACAGGAAATTTGCTGAATATTCATCTCTTGACTTAGACACAAAATGTCTTATTACTGAATACTTGGGAAAAATAACTCTAGGATGAACTTTCTAGATGACTCCCTTTATTTTAATCTCGCAGCAGATCCCACTCCACGTGCACGCTCTGTCACTGTCCAACTTCCCTCTTTGCTCTGATGGTGTAATGGAGGTCATCATAGGAGAACAGCAGTTTGTCCTGAGTGCATGCTGGAGTTGGGATAACAGTCCATAAGATGACACAGAAACTCATTTGCTTTCCTTCTCTCTTGTATGGTTGGTCCAGTCCACATGAGATTCGGGAGCTCTGGGCTCGGCTACGAAAGGAGCGTCCGGAGCTCTTATCCAATTTTGAAGAATTTCTATTGCGAGTTTCATCGTACATAAGGGAGGTGAATCATGAGAAGGAGTCCATGGAACAGGCACTGAAGCGGTAAGGAGAACATCGTGGCTGTTTGCTGTCAAGAACCAGCTGATGCTTGGGTCCTGCCTCAAATGCAAGGAGAGACTGGGTTACAGGATGTAGAGATTTTTCTTGTTATAATAAAATGACTTTTTATCTTGATCTGATCCCCATGAGTTTGTTTGGCATCAGTGCCCACCCGTAACACATGGTCTGGTTAAAATCCCACTCAAGGCCACACAGCTGTTAGTAGGAATCCATTTCCACCCTCCTCTTTCCTTTCTGTGTTCTTTTTCTCTCCTGACCTGTGTGCACCTGCCTTTTGTAGGAAGGAGTCAGACCATGACCGAGAAGTCAGGTGCCTTTATGAAGAAATGGAACAACAGATCAAAGCAGAAAGGGAGAGGCTGGTCTGCCAGGTACCTCATCTATCTCTTGGCTAAAGGCAAACCTCCTTTGGTCTGAAGCAGAGGTGGTGGCTCATCTGGCCACTGAACAGCTCTTACTGTGCTGGGTGTTGTATGCACAGCTTTGTATCTTTATCTTTGCAGGAAGCACTGAGACATGACAGGAGTAACCTGCTCCAAAGGGAACTGCACAACAAAGAACAGGAGCTGGAGAAAATCCTCTACCGCCAGAAGAAGGTAACATGACCCAAACCCCTCTTAAACAAGCACATCACCTTCTGCTGTTTCTGCTAAGGCTTTTTCTGACCAAAAATGGTGTTCATCTACTCAGGGTTAGTACTAGCCAATTTGACACTAGCTGGTGTAGTTCTCTCCTGTTTCTAAGAGTGTTGAAATGGTTTGTCAAATAATTGGTTTGTCTTCAACTGTAATGCCTTTCTGTGAATGTACTGTTCATGCATTTTCTTATCTGCTTTGTATTCTCTTGGCACAATCTTCCTATCAGTTGTACAATACTGGCAAGAAAGGGTAAAAATTTTTGAAAGTTGTGAGTTTGGAGTCTTTTGTGGTGTATAAGGAAGATGGGTATGGACATAAAAGAGCCAGATTTCTCTAGTTTTTGTTTTCTGATTGCTCCAAAATGACCTGTAGTGAGCAGTTCTGTGACACTTTAAAGAGGTACATATTGTGGATTTGCATTTGGGCACTTGATATGCTGATTAATCAGTCACATAAAAGATCTAAGCACAGACTTTCCTTTAGCCTGCCATCCGTGGCATGGACATTTGTATGTGATGGACTATTCTGAATGCCTTCTTCCTTGGTGTCTGAAGAATTGCTACATGGCTCCCACAGAAACAAGTCATGGTAGGCACCTGTAAGATGCTGGTGACTGGGGGTATCCAAGCTGGATGCCTATCTGTGATGTGGATGAAACAGCACTTCCCTGAAAACATCAACTCACTGTACAGCAGCTGGAAAAGCCAGCAAAACTGAGGTGCCATCAGGAAGGATATCAAGAATAAGATAATGTGGATGTGTTTTTCCTGCTGCCCACATCTTTGAGTGCCTCATTTGGTGAGTGCAGTTCTGCTCTTCTCTAATTCCACTGTGTCCTTCTTGGGTATGAAGATACAGAGAACTAACATTACTACGGAAATGGAACATCTGCCTTAGGAAGGGAAACCGGGAAAGCTTAGACTTGATTTTGGAGAGAAGGGGACTGAGGGAAGATACAAGTGAGCTTTATGAACTTGGGAAAGTGACAGATAAGGTCCACATAAAACTGCTATTCCCCAAGTCCTGCAACAGAAGAGAGGAGGGACACTCAGTGAGACCAGTATGAATTTGATTTAGAAGATCATACTTCCTTACACAGAGATTAGTGCTGGACTTTTGGCCACAGGAGGCAGGGAGTATTGGCAGTTCAAAAATTAATTGGACAAACAATCGTACAATAGGCTTGTAAATGTTTGGTAAAAGGAGGGATAGTCAGAGATGTGGCCTCTAACATCCCTAGTCCAGGGACCGTGGATGCTGGGCGTGTATGAGGGGAATGGACCATAGTAAGGAGCCCGGGCATGCTCTTCCTAGGTAGCATCTCGTTTTGCTATGGGTCAAGGCAGAATACTTAGGCTGCATAGACATTGTTACTCAAATTGTCGTTTCTGATGCCCTTAACTCTGAGCTGTGTGGATAATCGGGTCCCTCTTGTGGTGTAAGACCAGTAGTGTGATTGTGCTATTCTACGGTATCACCTCCAGGTGCAGGCAACATAAACAGGAGAGCTTTATGTGATGGAAATTTCTTAGGGAGGGGCAGTTGTACTTTACTTAAAGCCTGTCCCCTGGCTTATTGAAAGTTCCAAAGGCTGTAAGCAGGGGTTTCTTAGTCTAAACTCCACTGCTCAGCATATATGGTCATGCTGAAATTTTCCCCAATGTCCAAAAGACTAGAGGTCTCCAGGCAAAGCTGGGTGTGATTTGGCCTTGTAGCCTCAGTGGGAAGAGATGTAGGGTTTGTGTTTCAGGGAACCTAGGAAAGGTCAGCTCTGTTCATTCCCGCTCATGACTGTTGTTCAGATGTGCTGGCAGAGAGCAGGGTAGCAAGGAAAAAAGCACTTTACCTTGTGCCACACTGTGCTGCTTTTTTTTTCCTTTGAGAGGGGGAGAAAGTAGGCTGAGAGAAAAGGCAAGCTGAAGGTGTAAATGTGGAGGCTGATTCTGCCACCTGCTACCCTGATCAGACCTGATTCCTGGTGCTTCTCTCTGTTTGTCAGCATGGACTGTATGCTTTTATTTTGGGCTGTAAGCCCTCAGATGGTGCTGCAGTTTCTGTGTAGCACCAGCTTCAGCAGAGGGCCCTGGTTATCTGGTCTGGCTGGCCAGATACTGAAGTGTCCGTATGATCCTTCTTGCAGTGCCCTACTTGTCATCTGAGATGGGCAGGTTTGACTGCTGCATCTGTCTGTGACTCCTTCCCAGACTATGCCAGCCATGTGTGAGGAATTGAGTCACTGAGTATGCCTGAGTATGTGACAGCAGGCTTTCAGCTTCCCAAATCAGGCTTGTTAGTTGTGCTGGGGGCTTGTGCTGTCTGGAGTGCAGCTGTGTCCCAGTGGCATTTAAACAGTATGTCTGTCTCCAGCAGTAGTAAAGGCCACCCGATCACTTGACTTTCCAGGTGTAGTGTGAGATGCCCCCTGCACCTCGATATGTCCCCCTTTCAGCTGCCATGGGCTCAGCAACCCCCTAAAGTAGAAGATGCATTTCAACAACTGTGCTTAATAGGTCCCGACAGACACATTCCTGCTTCTGCACAAATTTTTCCAGTCCTCCTTTGACCCTCATTTGTGCTCTGATTTCTACAGTGCCTGACAGCAGCAGGCTCCTCACGCCGTCTGAAGCACTTCCTCAGCTGTGCCTAATTGTATTGCTTGCTCCCCTGTGCTGGCATAATGAGAAAGAATTCCTTCCTGTTCACCTTCTCGATGCCACTAGTGGTCCTGCAGACTTAAGTTGTGTTTACCCCCTTCTGCTTTGTTTATATCTGCTTTTTCAGGTTGTTTTAACAGGCATCACTGTAGCACAAGACCCTTCTCTGTGTTTAATCCCTCCTCCTCCTCTCACATTGCAGCTGGAACATCAGCTGCAGTCACTGAACTCAGAGCAGCTGGAGACCCGGGTGCAGAATGAAAAGCTCCGGCACCTGAATGAAAACCTGCTGGAAGAGCTGGAGAAAAGCAAATGGGAGCTGGAGGCGGTGAAGGGGCAATTACAGAAGCTTCAGAAAGAGGCTCAGCTTGAGCAAGAGCAGAAGGACAGGTGGGAAAGGACAGGAAAGGGGGTGTCAGGGCAAGGACACAGGCAGAGAAGGAAGGGTGGGCAAGCAGTTAAAGTATAACGATCTCTAATTAGGAGCCTTGGTCTTATTAGAGGATTGCCTGTCTCTTCTTGAGGAAAAGAAGAAACATCCCAATGGTCTTATGGGCCTAAATGGGGAGTGATACTGCTATCTCATGCCTACCTTTAGTGGGAAATGAATATATTCATTGATATTTGGCTAGAAAATCAGTGCAAAAGTACAGCCTCAGCCTGAAGAAGTCTTCTTCTCCATGTATTTTCCAGTTCACCATCACCTCTATAGTGCTCTCTTTAAAGATCCTCTTCTAATCACTTCTGTTCCCATTTCTGGGTTAAATCTAATAATGCATAGATAAAACATTGGGATGTTTCAAATCCAGATGGCAGTGACCATCCTCCCCATCTCTAGCAGCTGAGGAAATGGAGAAGATGGGTTGCCTACCCTCAGGCTAGAGGAGAGCAGGAAAGCTGTGGTTCAATCCAGCCATCCCAGCTCCCACAGCAGTGCTGCTTCCTCTGAATCCTCCTAGCATAAGGCAGGCCTTTATCTTTAAGAATACCATGAGTGCCCCTGAGAAAAGGATCTTTGTATTTTCTCTCCCATTAATTTATTTCCCCTTTTAAAATCCCTTTCACCCAGGGATGTGTTTAGAGTCTCCAAGAACATGCAGAAAGAGAAACAAAGCCTCCTTCGCCAGCTGGAGCTCCTCAGGTAAGAGCAAGGCTGGAGGGAAATGCTGAGCTCTTACATATGTAAGGGGCTGAGGTTTCAGCACTGTGCTCATTTCTCCCATGGAAAGCTACGGGATTGTATTTGAGCAGTGCTCAGACTCTGCTTGTTTTTCTAGGTCCAGACAGAGTTGTGCAATCTGGCCAGCTCTGGCAGATTACAGACTCTGTTATTTCACGAGGTAATCCCTCCTCTGGAGGAATTTAGTCTTTCCTGTTGGTTAAAAAAAACATGTGGAGCCCATTACCTGAGCTGGGATACACGGAAATCCCAACATGTCTGGCCTTAAATAGCATCTTTGTCTCAAGCTGCCTTTCTGTTCTCACTTTCAAATGTTCTCTTTACCCTATTTTGGACAAGTGCCTCATTATGTCTTTCCTGTGTCTTCCTTTGGAGCAGAGAGATGAACAAGAAACTTCGAGATGAGCGAGACGCTTTTGAAGCCAAGAAGCTGGTTAGTCTAAGAAAGAAAATCCCAATTCCCAACCACCCTCCTTTCGTCTGCTGCTGTTGCTGTCATCACTCGGGGGCCCGTCACTTCCACGGGGGACAATGACCTGAGCTCACAGGGCCTGGTGTGCTGCCTAATACAGACTTCACAGCACCTCTGTGTCCGTGCTGGAGACAAGCACTGCTGGTTGCTGTTGCCAAGTGCCCGGGTTTAACCCGAGGCATGTTGGTTTGTGACTGTCACACAGCCTCGTGCAGGGCTGCAGTGGGTGCTGCCTGCTGCACACGTGGGGTCTGTGCGTTGTGACAGGCAAGGAGGGGAGTAAAGCTGGATGCGTCCCTGGAGCTGGGTGGTGAGGAAGATGGATTCCCAGATGTGCTGCTGGCTGACTGGGTGTGGAGGGGCACACAGGAAGGTTTTGGAGTTTTTCTGACCCCTTGATTTTGTAGCAGATGTTTTCAGATGTTCCTCTGGGGCAGCTCCCCATTCCTGTGAACTCTGCAGGGTGGAGGTGCAGCAGTGAGCCCTGTGTCAGAAAGCTAGGATAAAGTAGGGCCTCTGACACCTGGAACAGTCAATCTCTGGCCTTTCCCCAATAAGCACAAATATGGGGTCTATCTTTAATTCTTACTGTTTTTCCATGAAACCATCTTTGCTTTCCCTAATGTCCCTGGCAAGGCTGCTATGTCCTCTTAAACCCATCCCTGCCACCATGTGTCTTTGCCTGCTCTGCCACCATGCCCCACTTGAAGATCTGGACGTAGATGCCTTGCAGTGAGGACAGGCAGTGGTAGGCTGCGAGAGCCTTTCTGTCTGATGTGTAAGGGAATGTGGAAAGAAGCATAGGGATTGTGCTCAGATAGGGGGTGGAATGCCCTGCTGGGAGAGAGGGTCAAATTCTTCTCCAGGTGGAGAGCTGTATAAAATAATGTCAGTAACTCTTTTGGATGGAGACGAGATGTGTATGCACATGCCTTTGTGTGTGTGTGTGTGTGTGTGTGTTTCTGAAAGCTGAAAGATTTTTTTTAATCTCCATTTTTAAAGCTGCTAGCTTTGTGTACGTGCACCAGAGCTTCCTGCTCCCTCTTGGAGAAGCAATAAACACTGTCATTCTGTAGCAGAGTCCAGGGCAAGCAGGCAAAGAAAATGGTTTCATCTCCTCTTTCCATGTGTTGTGCCTCATCAGCTTCTGGGTTCCTGTGGGTGGGATGGGTGGCCTGTGGAGACCATGGCTGAGGTATGTACCTCTGTGTGTACAAAGCTTGTCTGCTTCTCCTCTATTCTCTTCTCCCATTCCCCTGCTTGGTCCTGCTGGAGGCTGCTCTGAAACATGGCAGTTGCAGGCAGAGCCAAGAGAGAGCCTAGCAGAGAGTCATAGCACGGAGGAGCCACTCTCTCCCTTCTCCTGCCATTGGCAGTAGGGAATGAGGCAGCAGGGTGAACTCCTCCTACTACCATTGCTTATCTGTCAAGTCTATGTCATGCTGGGCAGTTGAAGCCTGGAGTAAGGTTTTCTTCCTCTGGCCACTCTCGTTTCAGTCCGCAGGAAAGCAGGGCTCCAAGGGATTGCAGAGGTGCTACTGTCATCACACACCTGCAGAAGATCTGCTGTCCAGCCTGTCACACTGTAAGGGAGAGAGAAAATATCAGTACTGCCCTACAGCAGCAAAAAGGAGAGTTCTGATGGGGATCCCTACTGTGCAACACGCTCTCTGCCAGAGACTATCATTGCTTTTACAGGCTGAAAAGAAACCCAAGGCCTTAATACCCTCTGTTAGTGCTGGGAAGAGTTGTGTTATTTCCATGAAGTGAAGGTGTGATGAACAGAGTTTCTTTCATAGCAAAAATTTTGAAGTGGTTGGAAGAAGGGATCAGGCTGTTCATGGGTAATAGCAACCCAGTCACTGCTCCTTTGCTCTTCTCAGTGCCCAGCTTAATACCTTGCTCTTCATAAGAGTTTCTGGCCTTGCCAGGGTGGGCAGGCCCTGGCCCCACGTCACTGTGGGGCGCTCTCTTGTCCCAGTGTCTGGGTCACAAACAGTGATGTCTGGCTGTTTCTGCCTATGTGCAAACCACTGATGGGTATTTCTAAGACCCAGGGATTGCAGGTTTAGTTTCACACCCGTGACCCATCTGGCTGTGGAGTTATGCTTGCATGCTGCATGCTGACAGAGCAAATTTCATGTCTGCTCATCATGATGAGTGTTTTGGTACTTAAACTACATTGGACATGTGTTTGTATTTCACTGATAAACCAGAATCTTTCCCATCCAAAATGCTTGTACATGTGCTGTTGTGAAATCCTTGCCATCGTGTATTATACAGCTGTGATGTTGTCTTGTCCCTTTACCATCCTGGTGAAAAGCCAAATGTTGCACAAACCTGGCAGGCCAATAAAGCATGGCAGAACCAATGGCAGAACATGCCCCATTGTTTCTCCTTTCTTACCCAAGTATGTGCTTTGCAAGCTGTTTCCTCTCCAGGTAGGGTTGTGCCATAGCACATTGTGTGAGAGTCCTTTTGTCCCATAGGTGACTTGAAGGTTGTGGCTGCTCCACTGGCCTGCAACACAGTGTTGTCCTTTCTGTGTAGCTAGAGGGTGCCCTTGAGGGAACCTGCTCAAACACTGAAAACTTCCTCCTCCATCCCTGCTGGAGAACCACTGGTTGTCTGAAACACAGTCTGGCTGTGATGGCTGAAGTGATGCTATGCATTTGGGGGTCTTTTGCCTTGGAAGATTTGTGCTCCACAGTTGTGAGCCTCTCAGTGCTGGATTGTTTCTGTGGCTGGAGCTTTTCTTGAACACCAGTTTTACATGTAAAAAATGTTTTGTTCCCCTCCCTTCCCCCTAAAGTTCCTAGTTGGGTGAGGCCCTCTGTGGAGTCCAGAGTGTCTGCTTTTGTTCAACTGCATTGCAGTAAAGGTGTTCTGGGAGTTCTGGCCAACAGAACAGCTTCTTAATTTTTTTGCCTTTTAAAATAAGCCTTCAGTAAGGGTTACTGAAGAAATAATCTTCGTAGTCCTCCCCCAGGGCTGTGGGCAGCACAAAGGAAGGCCTGTCCAGAGCTGCCTGCAGGTGTTTGGTCAGTTCAAAACTGCTGTGAGAGGCAGATCTGGCAGGCTGCAAACCCTTCTTTCCACACCTTTACTCCCAGAAATAACTTGTGAGGACGCATTAGAAATCTCCAGACTTGCAGACTGGATACATCTCCCTTTTTCCCAGTGCTGATGCAATGGGCACCTTGCTGTGCTGTTTCAGTGTTTTATGTGTGTGGCCAGAGCAGTGAGCTAGTCTGTTTGGGGTGAGGGGGGGACTAGGCTTTAGCATGGCATTTGGAAGATTTGCAGGTCAGTCCTCTCTGCCACAGGCTTTGCTGTGTGATTGCAAGCAAGCTCCTCATCTTTGACTCTACTGGGAATGCAAAGCTGCTGTATGGGGGGGAGAGGGTTGTGAGAGAAGTGGTCCTGCTTTCTCCTTCTCTGGGGAGCTAGTGAATACTGGCTGTAGGAAGTGTACGGTCTGAGGTAAGTTGGAGGAAAGCATGGAGAGGGATATTCATGTAAGGCAAAGCATGTGCATTGCCCTTTGCAGCGTGGTCTCCTTCCTTTCCGGTGGTTCATGTGCAGCTTTGGGTGAGCACTGGTGGAGGAGGGGTATTAGTGTCTTCTCAGGAGGGGGCAATTGGCCTGTCCCCCAAAACATCACCATAATAAAGAGGGAGGTGGGAGAAGAGAGATTCAACTGTGAGACCAAGTGGAGAACAACCACAGAAATAAAAACTCTGGCTAGAGAAAGAATTCAGTTTGGAACATTTCTACTTTTGATGAATTATGTTGTGAAGGAAAAAGCAGCAACAGTGATGGCTTCTTGCACAAATTAAATTATCTGAACTAAAGAAAGCACACTCAGTGCTCACCTCTGTTTGAACCTACCATTGCACGGTGTGGGGCTGCAAGGGCTCCAGCCTTGCCTCCCCAAAGTGCTCTGCAGAGGTGGTGAGTGGTTGAACTGGGGCTGATCAGGTTCTTGGCTCGTAATCACATTCTTCGTTCCTTCTCTTTTCAACTTCCAGGTGCCTCAGAACAAAAACCCTCTGTTGAAGAAAGGCTCAGTGCTAGGCAGTTACCTGCCGGACGACAAGCCAGTCAAACGGTTAGATGGGTGTCTGTGTTGTGTTCATGGTGTCAGTCTGTGCCCGCTGGAGTAGCCTGTCAGTCAAGCTGTGCCCTGTGTCTAGTTCTCCCACCTTGGTGCTGGCTGGTTTTGGGAGCACGGAGGGATGCAGCTTTTCTGTGGCTCAAGCTGCCTCTTGGCATCAGATAGTGTTGGCTCAGCATGAAGCTGAGATACCATTAGCTAATTTCCACGGGGAGGTAACCGCCCTGCTGCTTTTAACTGCAGCAATGGGGGAGCAAACCTAAGTGCCATCAGAAGGTTTGGGACTGTTCATGGGAAGGGAGTCACAAAGGCTGCCTTTAACCGAGTCAGGCAGCTCTGTTGAAATGACTGGATCAACTTCCAAGTGTGCCAGTTCTTCCTCAGGCAGAAATCCTGTCCACTGGTGCCTCATGCCAGAGCCCATATCCCTGGGGCATGGGAGAGGGCAGAATCCATTAGGCTTGGATTCTTCCTGGCAGGTGAAGGCCCCAAGGTGAGGGCCCAGTTCCAGGTGTGTTCATCTTGCCCATCTCCTGTTCACCTATGCAGAAGCTCAGCTGGCACACCAGTCCTCCCTTCAGGCAGGGCAGGCAACGTGTCTGTGCGGCCAAGGCCTTTTCTTCCCCCCCCATACAAGCAGACTATGCAGTTCCTTCAATGCCCACGTATGCTTGCCTGAACCATGCTGGTGTTTAGCATCAGCCTTTGTGAACTAGTTGTGTGACCAGCACACTGGTATTGGCCAAAAGCCTGGTTCCTCTGGGAGGCAGGGGAGGCCAGTCCAGCCCTGACTTGGCTTGGAGCTGGATCTCACCTGCAACTGCTGGCCCCAAACAAGTTTTAAAGGCAGCATGCTTCCCTGTCTCTTACCAGGCCTCTGCAGAGGGTTCCATTGCTCCCTAGTTCCTCCTAGTGCCAACCAGAGACATGGGTTTAGGCTCAGAGTTTCTTCCAGCTTCAACCCACACTTAAAGTCTGCAATTCTGGTAGTGGCATTTAAGAATTGAGCTCCAGGCTCCTTAGGTCATGGACTGGTGGAAAACCAGGTGGATTGTGGCTGATTCTTGAGCCCAGGAAGGGAGATTGCTTGGACATGTTTGAGGCAGAGCTCTTTTGTGGCTGTGTGACTGGCACACATGCTATCCATCAAATCAGACAACCAAGTTCCCCCATCTTCCTCCCCGAGTATTTCTTGCAGAGATCCTTCTAGCTGCTGCTGGCATAAACCCACTGAAAAGGCTTAACAGGTGGAGAAGTCTGGCAGTAAGGGTGATGTGAGAAGGGGAGAAGTAGTTGCTGGCCCTGTGTCTGTCCCAGTGCTGTGTCACACCACGTCACTTGAGAAACATGAATAAAACCAGTGAGATCTGGAGTCACTATTCAGGAAGTTTTGTGTTTGTCTCTTACCCCCCTCTCCTTATCCACCCCCCCCCACACACACAAAGAGGCTCTTGAATCTCAGCCCCTCATTCTGTGACTTGTGCCAGCCTTGGGAGATGGGGGCTGTCCCTCAGAGCCTGAGTCTGGGAGTATGTGTTGATTTTCAGGGGGAGAGGTTCCAGCTGGCCTGGCTCTAGACTGGCATTCAGGGCAGATGTAGGGAGGACAACCAGGAATGTGAGCTCCCTTTCATGGAAGTGTAGGCATGGCAGCAGGGGAATTTTTCAACCCGGATGAGGTGTACTTGTAGGAGTGAGAAAGGAGAGTTTTCTTGATTCCTGCACTAGTAGCCAGAGAAAAATGTTGCAAAGAGAGGTGGAACGTACTGCCTCTGAAGAGACTGACTGTAGTAAGCTCTGATTTGCTTCCAAATGGAATCTGCTGGCCAGTGAAGGCAATGGAGATGTCTGTGGGGGATAAAGCCCTTCGGTTGAGTTTTAAGTGTTCTCACTCCCTTTGGCTTTTTGTTCCTCCACTTACCATGTCAGTTCTACCCCCTGCAGAGCAAAGTGCATCAGCCTGCTCTTGTGTGGGCACAGTCTGTGCAACACCTATTCCCAATTACCCCAGCTTCGACAGGGCTCCTGGGCATTTGTTGCCATTCAGAGCCAGTGTGGCTGGTTGGAAGCTTTAAAAAGAAACATCTTTCAGGTCCTGGCTCCCTTACCTTGGCCAGATATAGATACAGGCCAGAGCAGAGCCAACACCAGACAAAGTGACTCTCACCTGTGTGAGAATGTTCAGTGCAATTTGCACACCTGTGGCAGATTTCTGCTGCCTGAACTCAGTAAGACTCTGGGACAGCAGTGTTTGGGAGTGCTGGGCAGGTTCCCTGGAGCAGGACTGTGTGCCTGCAGCAGAGGGCACACTGCATGCAGCCTCCCTGGGATATCAGACAGCCCTTGCGCCGCTGCCTGCAGGCAAAACCCTCTTCACTAACCTCAAAACCTTTGTTACTTCTTTGTATTGTATTTCATAAGAAAAATAGTGAGGTATTTTTTGCTGCCTTTTTTTTTTTTAAGATTCTCTTTTTGCCACCTTTGTATGTTTTGCCTCATTTTTCAGTACTGGGGGAAATGGGAGGCAAAGAATTCTTAAAAAAAATCCAGAAGCCTGCAATTTTTATTAAAACCAATGAAAAACTTGTTGGCACATATGAGTGCAGCATAGCTCAGGTGAGCTGTCTCTTTTTCCTTAGGGGTGTCGCTGATGACTTAGTCACGGGGAGTGTGGGGAGTGTATGTATGGAGTTCCTGCAAGCACTGCATATGCACTAATTGGATTGTACTGGTTGTTTTGGGAATTTGCAACCTCCTCCTCTTCCCTATCTCCTCACTCCCTACCCTCCCACCCTGCCTGTGATGCTTGTGAGCTTTAATACAGACAACTGGCCTCTGCGGACCTTCCCTTCACCTTCCCAGCGGATGTGGCAGTGGAAGAACCCAACAGAAAGAACTGTAAATACTTCCCAGGCAACAGGACATGGATGAAGACAGGAGAAGGAGAAAGCACAAACTTTGGAGACAACCCTAGAGACAAGGAGAGATGGCCCTTGGCAGCAGATACTGAGTGGTTTAAGATGACTTTGAAGGGTGACACTGACTGCAGAAAAAAAGCAGATGGCTTAGATGCTGGTCCGCTGCCTCCTAGAGCACAGCCTGTTGGCACTGAAACCAGGGTGAGTGTAGTCACTTGGGGTTCTTCCTCAAACACCTGCTACCAGGGACTTGAGGGTTTCTGACTCTCTTCCCATCTAACTCCAGCTCCATAGGTTTATAGTGCAGGGGTCCAATGCCTGCACAAACCAAAGCACAGCCTGCAATTAGGCTTTTCAAAACTGAGTCCCTTTCTTCCATTGTAGCTCCAGGCACTGGAACCAGCCAGCTGTTCCCCAGATCGCATCTTTAAAGTGGTGTTTGTAGGGAACTCTGGTGTTGGGAAGAGTTCCTTTATCCACCGCTTCTGCTATGACAGGTTCTTGGCTGAGCTCAATGCAACCATCGGTAAGTAATAGGGTCCCTGACTCATCTGGATAAGAAGGGTGGGAAAGTCAGCCTGGACAAATGGTTTTTTGCCAGTATCGTAGCCCAGCTAAAGGTCAAGATGGTCCCTCTCCCAGTATTGAATCAATCTTGCAATTTCCCTGAACTAAACAGAGTTGAACCCTGGCCATTGTAATGGCAAGCTGCTTTCTCCCTCTCCTACCTTATGATCATTGTTACTTTCCTGACAGGTATTGATTACCAGGTGAAGAGTCTAATGGTGGATAACACCCAGGTTGCCTTGCAGCTGTGGGATACAGCTGGACAAGAAAGGTAAGTAATTTCTGTGAGTAATTTCTACTGCCAGACTCATTGCAGGAAAGGGAAAGTGCATGCAGCTGGTTTCTACCCCTGGGAAAACTGTTAGCTTCAGAAGGACCAGAGAGGTCACAGCAGCTATTCCAGTGCTGAACCTGCAGCAAAGGCCTCTTTCAAGAGATTTCTAGAAGCTTTGGCTGTGAAGCAGAGCCTGGGGAGATCTCTCTCAGGATTGACAGAAAAGTAGTTTTCCATATGTCTGACATGCATGCTTGTGGCTCCAGGTAGTCTGTCCATAGATCACTGTATGGTGTGAGGTTCAAAGCTCCTCCAACCCTCAAAGCTCTCCTGCATCAGCCTACTTCAGGGAAAAGCTGCAGGACAGGGTGCAGGTTAGGATAAAAACTAAGGCTCTGGATAGACATTCTGTTCTCAGATTTGGCTGTGCTACTCCTGTCCCCAGCTGCTCACCACCACCTGCTATTCAGGGGGTGGGAAGGACTGTGTGAACCTTTCCAGGTCAGATTCAGTTGTCAAAGCCAGCTGAATTAGTTTGACCTGTGGGGAAGGTGATTTGCACTAACCTGCTGGACTCTGTCAGTGAGTTTATTGGCCCCTCCCACTGTCCCTTTTTGCTGATAGACTTGTGGAAGCGATAATCCTTGGTAGAGGGACTGTGCAGCTTTTTGTGACAGTGAACACACGTTCCCATTTGAAGGCCTCTAGTTTCGAAAGCATGGGCCATCTCTAGGTGTTATCAGCACTGTTGGTGAGGATCAGAGTAGTAGAGGACACACTTGACCCTCATCTGCTACTAGAGATGAAAGCCCATCACTACCTTCACGTAAATCACATTTTACTTGGGATACACTTCAAAGCTTAAGATGCAAAGCTGTTTCAAGGGGACCATGAACCTCAAGGGCCAGACAAAAATAAGTACTGGATATTTAGGGCTAAATATGTTATGGGGGCAGGCCTTCAGGAGGCAGCTGAGATCATGGGAATATTATAATCCTAAACTATGCCCATGACGCTGTCTGCTCAGTCAGCTAGACCATGCAGACCTGGTGGGAATGTACTAAGTAGGAGTATCTTATCGAAAAGCAACTATCTCTTCCAAAATCAAGCTTCATGCTAAAGAAATAATGATTTCTGAAAGGACTCCTGTGGATATTTCAGTGCTGAAACTCAGCAGTAAGGGGAGTTATGACATAAAATGTGACATTTTACTGGGGCCAGATTGCATCAAATTGAAGAGATTGTCTGCAGAAGGATCTTAAGCATTAGCAGGTCTTAGATGTGTGCTTGAAAGAGAGAACTTGGCTCAGTGCTGATACCGATTAGAAGACATGGGAAAAAGCAAAAGCTTTTACTGCTTCTGGAGAAAGGTGCATGCTACCTTTTGATGTTTTTTCTGGAGCATCTGGCCTGTCTGGCAGTTCCAGAGATGCACCTTGACTGCCAAAGACACAGTCTGTGCTTTCTCAGTTGAGCAGTTGCCAGAATGTCATGCCCTTATTGCACTGAGAAAGAACAAGCTCCAGGCAATCATCTGAAGAGTTCAGGAGGGTCACATCTTGCTGTAGGTTTTATTGGCTCGTAATATAAGAGTAGAGTTTGCTATCCTGTGCGGGGCTGAAATACACAGCTTTCCAGTGAGATCTCAGTACCTGTGTTACATTTCATTCCATCAGTTTGCAATCAGTGTGGTTATATCATGGCTCTGTCACAAACTCCTTACAGATTTTTAAGGTTTGAGTTTGGTTTCTGTTTTTGTTTGTTTGTTTGGCTTGGTTGTTGGTTTTGGTGTTTTTTTGTTTTGTTTGTTTTGTTTTGTTTGTTTGGGTTTTTTTCAGTTTTTTTGGTTTGGTTTGGTTTGGGTTTTTTGTTTTTGTGGGCTTTTTTGTTTTGGGTTTGTTTGTTTCTTTTAGTTTTTTGGGGTTTAGGGGTTTTTTTTGTTTGGTTTTTTGGTTTTGGTTTGGTTCTTTTTTTAATTTATTAAAAAAATACAAGCCTGTGGTTTTAATTGGTATGGAGAGGACACAGTAGATGTCTGATGGGAGTTTTTCCCCGAAATTATGTCTAACTCCTGATTTTTTATTTATGATGGCATTGATTTATAGATTCAAGACTGTAAACAGACTCTATTGATGCTGAGATCTTAATTGCTGTTTTGGCAGCACTGGGGCAGACATTATGCATGCCTAGTTTGTACTGTGGTACAGCTTAGTCTGCAGATTCTTACAGACTACAGAGAAAGATCATGTTTTTTCCAGCAATTTCCCTTTTTATAGGCAATTTCCTTTTCCTATCCCTCCTAAGCAGATTCTTGTTTCTTTCTTCCTCACCTGCAAAGGTCTTCCTTCCTGTTTTCTCAGCAGCATGCATTTGGAAAGACTCCTGCTTACCCTTGGCTGCCTGGCCCGCCTCAGGAGTGCAAGGATCTGACCTGTCGCCAGGCCCCAGGGGACACACCAGCCCCAGGGGACACGCACGGGGGCTGCCTGGCCTTGCAAAGGACCTGCACTGAAAGACAGATAATCCCACTCTGTTTCTTGTCATTACATGGCCATGGTTCTGAGAGTGCCCTTGGTTTTGTTTGGCACAGGTTTCGGAGCATTACCAAGCAGTATTTCCGGAAGGCAGATGGGATTCTGGTGATGTACGACATGACGGCCGAGTGCTCCTTCATGGCCGTGCGGAACTGGATGAGCAGCATCCAGGTGAGAGCAGGACCGTGGCTATCCAATGCTCGTTGTGCTTCCACTGCCTTGCTCCAGACCAGTTCCAACAGTCTGTCTGGAAGCGACATTCCCCAGAGCCCCAGGAGGTCCTACTGACCTTGTGGAGCTGAATTATCAAAGCAGATGCTGTGGGTACTGCCTGTGGGAGTCAGTCTGGGACCAGGGGCTTTGTGCTGAAGATACCAAAGCCAGTGTAGGCCATTGAGTGAAGGAGGGCTGTTTCTGTGGCAGAATGTGGTGGGACCTGCCAAAACAGTAATCTGTGTTTGTAAGCAGCCCATGTGCATTGGCAACATCTCCTAAACATGGTCACATCACACCTGTGCTCAGGTAAGGAGATCTCCTGGCGTCCAGCCTATGCGCAGGAAAGGGAGACAGCCCTGATGCATTTAGGCTCAGACCTGCAGCACAGCACTTTGTATGGTCACATCCTGACTCTGCTTGGAGATTTCTAAATGGGACTGCATTATTAGTAATAGCTTTGTTTTTTTGTTTCCCTCATTTGCTCCAACTTTAACAATTGATAATTTTTTCCTTTTCTATTTTTTTTCTTTATTTGGTAATTGTGTATTAATATTGTAACTTGCCCTCCTGCCTTTTATTTCCAAACTCTCAAAAAAAGCGTTCATCTGTGGCTTGTATCTCCTTGGGGAGACAAAAATACCCATCTATATGTTTTAAATAAGTTGGGTGTAGATGATCAAGATGTTGAATGGGAATTGTGAAGGGTGGTTTTGTCGTGATTATGCCGAGTCTCAAAATAAAACAAGATCCTTGTGAAATGAATAAGCATAGGATGGAGGTTTCTTATATTATTAACTTCCACAGGCCTGTTGGGAAAAACAAACAAACAACCACTCAGCTATTTCTTTGGACTCTAAAAGATCAAAGGTTAAGATTTTCAAAACTAAACCAGCCTCTGAAAATCAGGCTTCTTTCAGGAAGGTTAAACTGAGCACAGAGAAAATCAAAACAGGCAAAATATGTAACTTTTAATATCTCTCTTCTTTTCCTCTGCCCATCTGTGTATTTATCTTGTTTTGAAGCTCTTCAGGTACTGTATTATGTCATCCAGGGCACTCAAGTTTGGAAATAACTTTGAGCCCTATTCTTACTCTGGCAATGTTCTAGTGAGCCAGTGGAACCTGAGGGAGTTTTACCAGAGGTAAGGGGTTCCCAGAATAAACAGTCCCTACAGAGACAGTGTACAGGAGTTAAAAGTTGCTTAGCTTGCTTGGCCAGTGAATTTTTAGCAAGGGATCACTGAGTTTAGGACATCAGAGGAATAGTACCACACATACACACAAAAATTATTGAACTTATTAAGAAGCTCTGCCTGATCTCAAATTCCCAGCAGCCTATGGGGCAAGCTGCTTTTCCTTAGGCTTGTTATTTCCCTGAGAGGAACTTATGTCCTGTCTCCCCTCTCTCAGCATCCCAGCTGAACATGAGAAAGATTTGGAATACATTCCAGTAGCTTAAGCTTTCTTCCATAAATCCCTGGGGCTACTGAAGGAATGGCCCTTTATTGAGCTAAAGGGCCCAATCGTGCTGCTGAAGGTCTTGTTTGCATGAGCTGGAAGGATCTGCTCTGAGTTACTTCCCTCCTTCAGCTGAATTTCCAGGGTGCTTTACTCTGTTTCCTTTGCAGGAAGGTATCGAGGATGGAGCTGTGGTCTTTCTGCTTGGAAATAAAATGGATGCTGTGCAGAGAGAGACACGGAATGTGCCCAAGGTGGAGGGGGAAAGGCTGGCAAAGGTGTGACTCTGCTCTGCTGCTTGACCTGCTCTGCAGCCTCCCTCCAGCTGTCAGCAGGGCAGCCTGGCTGGCAGAAAGCCCTTCTTGGAGCCATTTTCCAGTATGGTACCTTGCCTCTCTCCCCCACCCCATGTTTCTCCAATGTAAACATGTACCAAGGTCCCTCTGGTACCAGGCAGGATGAGATGTGGCACGCAATGGCCCTTGAGGCAGGCTCATTTATTTCTCTTGAGGCTTAATGCCTCCTTATAGTCTTTCTGAGGGAAACTTGCATGGCTGTTTTTCCATCTGAGGACTCCTTACTGTAACATCATCCTGCCTTTTCCCTCAATCCCTTGTCTGCATGCTTGCCGGGACTTTGACCCCTGGGTGGGGGGAGGCTGAAAGTGGTTTCAAAGGTGTTCCCTATCTTCTGAACTCTGCAACACAAAGGTAAGGGAATTAAAGTACCCTGAGCAGATGTATTCTCTTCCCGAACAACTTCTCCAATGCTCCCTTTTGGATGCTCTGTCTGGGCCCCCAATGCTGGAAAAGCATCTCCTTTTTCTGGGCTGCTAAGGGGGTGATAACAGCCACTCTCCTGGCCCCAAATGATCTTGGAAGAGTTCCTGGTGGTGGGGGTGGACTAGCTCCCAAGGATGTGAATGAATGGTGGTGGAAAGGTGGCAGCCAACATGGGTGCTTGCTGTGCTCTCTGGCAGGAATACAAGGCTGTCTTCTATGAGTGCAGTGCGATGACTGGCTATAACATCATGGAGCCCATGCTGCACATGGCCAGGTCAGTGAACAGAAAGTCACCCTGGGATATTTTCCCCACTATAGGTGACTGGTGTGGGCTCTCCTGGGGAATGGGCAAGAAGAGGGGCGTGTCAGAGACTGACTTTCTGCCATATCACAAAAACCACCTGACTTCCTGACTCCAAGTCATTGTCTTCTGTGCCTGGAGAGCACCAGTTGTAGACTGGACACTTTCACACACAAAATTTCATCTGGCAGAGCTGGCTGTTGCAAGATTGGGAGTTTTATTTGAATATTTCACCACAAAAACCTTGTGTACTATCATAGATTTTAAGTTGGTGTTTTGGAAGTCTGCATGCAGCTCTAAGGGTTTTTTCTTCCCTATCTTATTAAGCATTGTACTGACCGTGCTATTTTGGTGGCAATAGTTTTAAAGGGAGATAAGACACTTTGTTAGGCTGAAAGAAGTTTGCTCTAAGATTTTTAGTTTTTTTAAAAAAAGGTAGTTTTTGGAAAAAAAGTATTTGAAATCTTGCAAGGAAATTATCCTTTTGTCTTCTTTTATCCCTTCACCTCCTCCTGCACATCATCTCTGTTAAATCCACAGCAGGATCTAATTGTTCATTAACTGGGATGATTTACTTATCAGCTAGGTAAATTGTGTCTCCCATAGCACATGCCTTCAGCATGCTTTATTACCATGCTGCTGCCCAAGATGGCCCAGACAGGTGAAGCAAACAGCCCAAGAGTCTGACGTCAGTGTGGGAGCTTGGGAATAAGGCACAGACCACTCACACCTGGTGCTCTGACTACTAAGCCATGCGGTCCCCTCTTGTATGTGACCAGTTTCTTTCCCTGTTCCCTGGAAATTCATGCTTATTTTCTGTGTGTGTTGGTTTATCTAGCCCAACTTCCAGAGAAGTCCAGTCTCTTGGCCAGTCATTTCTTACAATCCTAAATGGCTGGTGGGGAGCAAAGGGCAGAGGCAAATGCCTTGGCAGGAAGAGCTCAGTAACCAGGTTGTGCTCTTGGTCTGTGCTGCTCTTTCCAGGTTGCTGACAGCACAAGAAGACAGGCAGAGGGAGAATGCCCTGCAGCTGGAAGATATCGGCAGGAGGAAAGGGTGCTGCACATAAGGCACATCAGTGTGTCAGCAAGAGGCATGTGCCAGCACTGTATCATGAAGCTGGGGGTTCCTTTCAAGCAAGCTGAATCTGATGGTATCAGCTCTTCAGAGATTTGGGGAAGCTGAAGCTTTTCCCAGTCTGTGAATTTTGAGGCACTAAATCAGGCCAAAATGTGCATATTATCTGCACTGTTCCATTTCCCAACTCTGCATGCAGCCCTGGTCTCTGGAGGCCTCTGCTTCTTTGGGGAAATTTGGCTGGTCTTGGCTAATTGGACAAAGTGGGCCTTCTGTCTGGAGAGTTTGCTTCCCTGTAAAGGGATGGTCTTATTCCTTTTCTCTCTGGTAAAGAACTGGCCTAGCAGCAGAGAGTGGAGGACACAATGGTTGCTGTCTTAAGTAGAATTTTAGTGTAAGAGATAGAGCTAGCCCAAATTTAAGTTTCTTTAAGTAGTGATCCATCCATCCATCTCAGAGAACAGCATCTCCTCTTGGCTCTGTGACAGTAGGGCCCAGTTGAGATCCTGCTGTGGTAAGTGAGAACGCTTCTACCACTTCCTGCAAGATCTGGATAAGGCCCTGTATTTACTCCAAAATTAAGTTGGACTTGTCAATATTGTAGTCAACTGATTCCATGTGTGAATATGGTATGAACTGATAGAATGAGTCACTCCAGTGGCTTTCATCTCATTGGTACCCTAATGGACCTTGTCACTGTCCCTCTCCTACTGTTTACTGAACACAGAGCAGTTGCCCTGGGACTCACAGGTGCTGACATGTGTTGCTGATTCATAACCCATTGCCAGAGCTGTGCTGTACAAACTAGGGGAGCCATATATAGCCTGTTTTATGGTTGAACGCTGCCTGTTTCCTCCCATTCTCCTATCTTTTCCTGAAGAATATCCGGCAACTTGGAACTGCCTTTCCCGCAGTGCTTTCAAATGTACCTGGGCTTGGAAGCACAAGGCAGCTGCTTGTGTCAAATGCAGCTTTTTCTCTTGCAGTGACCTTGTGCAACAACCTCACTTTCCTGGTGAAGGGCCTGAGAAAGAGCTGGACTGAACCTGTTTCCATTGGGAAGGGGCCTTCTTGTTGCTGAGGAGTGGGGCAAAGCAGAGTGAGGGGAGGGGAGGGCTGAGGTAGAAACTGGCCCCAGCCATGTGCCTGTTGGCAGAGCTGCAGCTGTGCCTGGGCACGGAGCACCTGGTGTGCTCTGGGGTGTGATGCTTTCTGCTTTGTAGCTCAGTTGCTCTTAAAGCCTTATAGGACTAAGTGAGCTTTTTGGTAATGCCCAGTTCCCTTTCATCTTTGAGCCTGTTTATGCAACTGACATTTTAGGCACAAGATGTGTTCCTGCAGCCTTGAAGCAGTCCCCCCAACCTTGCAGCATGGGAAGGCCTGTATTTGTCCACTGTCTTTCCTCCCTTGGGATAAGGTGGTTACTCTGAATGTCTATTTATTGCACAAATTTCTTTGGGAATATCCCATGCAGGAAAAGTGCTCTGAGTCACTTACAGGCCTCCAGTGTTACAAAGAATTTCCATGGTTCCTCCTGGTGCCCTTTACTCTAGATAGGAAAGGAAGTTTTTCTCTGCAAGAGCAGGATTTCTGAGTAAAACGAATACCCAAAAGTAATAAGCTCCTGCTCAGTCCTTAGTGTTGGCTGGCTGTGGCTCACATTGTGTTTAACTGCAGTAATGCCTTCCAGAGACTAGGAAGCAGAAAGCCAGAAAAGGTCCAGAACCAGGGTAGCTAGTGTGGAGCCTAGAGTAACACCAGCAGTGCTGCCACTGGGACTCCTTGTGTTTGCAAGAAACAATGTGTGGGAAGGGAAATCATCTCTGTTTTTCAGAAAACAGCTCTAATCTGGACACAGATGTGACTTTCTAACCAGTGTGGGTGTGAAGGAGCACAGGCATTATCACCTGTTGAACAGGTCGAACCCACCATCTGCCTTAGGGGAGCTCCAGGTGCCAGTTAACATGGAGTGGCTGGCCAAGAATTGGTGTCTTCGGTCGTGGCACATCCGTAATGCTAACAGTTACTTACCTGCAGCAGCAGGATTTGGGAAGCTGCTGCAGAAGGAAGAGAGCAGTAGCTAATGTTCTGAAACTGCACCTCCTGCACTCTGTACAGAGCACATCAAAGACAAAGGCATGAAATTACAGCTGACACACAAATACAAGCAGTCTGTGTAGTACCTTGATCAGTGCTGTCATATTGCAATGGCAAGAACTACCAGGTTCTTTTGATGTACAACCTTAAGCATGTTTTCTTAGTGTGCAAACAGTACAGACAATAAAGAAATCCTGTCTTACAAACCATTGCGTTGAGAGATTTTTTTCAGATGCTGCAAGAGATTCAGCCTCCCATCTTCAATGATTGTAGTGACTTCTCACTGCTCAGGATGTTGCCTGTCCCCCATGATGGTACACAGAGGGTCTTATAAGTAGGGAGAGAGTCGATCAAGAACCCATGTCTTGTAGGTAGCAGAGGAGAAATTAATCTCCAGTCTTTTTTTACCTCTTTCAAGCAGCCAGAGTCCAGCTGATCAGGGAAGGCAGAGCACAGAGGAGAAAAAGGGGAGATGCTTCCCCAATGTCTGGGTGTGTAGTGCTTTCAGAGAGGGCACGTTCTCACCTTGTTACCTATATTTGTAGAGCTAAACCTTTATTTTATTAATGTCCCATGCATCCTTTTCACTCGAATTATGAACTTGGTTGCTTTTAATCGTTGTGCCTTGGTAGGGCTCCAGCTGGATGTTCGTGCATTACAGAATTAATCACTCTGCAGTTTTGACCAAACAAATTATTACTCATTTCCCCTGCTGTAAATTGATAACACAAGTAGTTCATTGTAACTTCATCTTTTTTTTTTTAGCAGGAAAAGGTGGATTTTTGTTTCAAGCATGACAAAATGGCACAGAGTTTGAGCGGGTTGTGCTTGGACAACAGTAAGCACCAGGGTGGGGTTTATTACTGGAAGGTCTTTTGTTGTCTTTTTTGTCTCTCAGCACAATAATTCCTGTTGGAAGACCCAGACACAGTCTGAAGGTGCATGTTATCAGTTTTTAAATCTGTCTGATATCAGACCCAAACTAGAGCAGAATTTCCACAAAATTCTTAATTTTACTACATCCTCCTGTTGTGTCAGAATCTCTCCTGCCTCTAAATAGAAGACCAGGAGCAGTCACCCTCTGCAAGTGACTGCTGGAAACTGCAGCAGAAATAAAAAGCAAATAATGGAGACATCCTGAGGTGGCACGAGATGAGTGAGGATGCAAAATAAGACTGCCCAGGGCCTTATTCCTTCACCATATTGGCTGCAGTCTCTTAGGGAACAAGTGACATTTTGCACATACCCTGTAAGGTATTTTGGAATCCTATCACAAGAAAGTACTCTTTTTATAGCCCAGGAAGCCTTATCCTGGCACAGGCAACAGTGCAGCTGTGTATACAATCAGATTTAGGGGCAAAAGCAAAAAAAAACCCCAGCAGCTACTCTGATAAGCAGCCATGGTGCCACCAATCTCTGCATGCTGGCAAAGGGACCTCACTCTGCTTTGGGTTTCACTTGTCTCTTTCATGTTAATATGCTAAGGGTAAGTGTAAGAGGATTAGCCTGACAGCATCTCTTTGAAAAGCCAAAACAGGGCTGAAAAGGGAGCATTAAGCCACGGTGTTAAGTTTAAAGCTTTCCCATAGGACAAATGTGGGAATTGCAAAGGTTTGAGATGTTGTTTTCCTCTACCTTCTTTATTCCAGCAGTGTGAACTCCAAGGGTCAGTTTTCATTTATTCACATTTAATGAGTTCTGGCAACGGGGATCATGCAGCCTGTCATGTCACCTTCTTCTGTTTGTTTCTTTTCATGCTCTTTTTACTTGTTAATTGCTTAGTGTGTGTATTTATATATATATATAGAGAGAGACCAAGTACTTAATCTCCAAGTGTTAACATATCTCACAGCCCATGCTATACACCTTTAAAGCTCTGTTTGGGAATCTCCCACTCAATTCCAATAGACCCATAGTCCTGCAATTCACAGCTTTGTTAGCAGATGCTCATTACTTATCTGGCTGTTTATGAGTCACACAGAAATTTCTGTTGGTGTGGCTACAATAATCCGTCTCCGGACTCTCCAGCCTGCAAGGCATGTTTTATATATGTATCAAGCCATGTGGTTTGGTAAGGCCCTGTTCTGCAAACACAAGTGTAGCTGTGTGCTTCTTCTGAAATTACTAGTCCACAGGACACCTGACCAGGTAAAATTAGTCTTTTCGAGGCAAACAGGTATCTCCAGTAAATACCTATTACTCCAGCAGTAAGCTGAGAACTGGGAGGTGGGGGGTCCTGTGGTGTATCTCGCCTTTAGCCACAGGCTCTCCCAAGCACATGATTTCTGTGCAGGCAACACTTGTGCCTGGTCGTGCTGGTTTGCTGACCCAAATCTGCTGGGGCAGGGGGTTATGTTTTCTCCTGTTTGTGCATGAAATCCCTGGACATGGCAAGAAGGTAGCAGCCCAGTGGAGCAGGGTACCTGAGGCTCCTCCAAGGAGGGCTGGGGCCTAGGGTAGGGGCTTCTAAGAGTTTGTGGCTTCCAGGCTCTGCCACACACTCCCTGCAAAAAACCTACCAGTGTGTAAGCATGACCTGGTCCCCCAGGGCTCTACTTGATCACTTGGCCCTCCAGCAGCTCCAAGGCAAAGCTTAGGCAGTATTCCCATCACCTGAGGAAGAGAGGAGTGAGTTTACTCCTTGGGAAGGATGATGTGATTTTTGAGTTGGGCACATGGAGAGGTTAAATGTCACATTCGGGGCAAGCACCCAGGAGATCCTAAACTGGCCTTTTCCCTCGCTCCCTGCCCATACCTCCTCTCTCCCTGACCAGATCTCCTCCCTTCACCCCATTCCCTGAAAAACCATGTGAGGCTACTCAGTCATGGAGGGGAGCAGGCAAGGGCCTTTCTCCCAGCTCAGGGCTGCTCTGCACAGAGGTAGGTATGTGGGCTGCGGCTAAAAGTGAGGTAATGGAAGGATGAGGCAATGTGCCAGTCAGGGCTTGATCTTGATTTACAGGGTGTTTCATGGAAAACTCTTTAACAACCAAGTTTGACGCCTTA